TCCAGTCTCAGACCTCCTTTTGGAAAGTCTGACCAATCCTCTGTTCTCCTTCTTCCTTCGTATACTCAGAGGAGCAGGGAACATAAACCAACCTCTTGCACTGTGCAGTGTTGGTCTGAGGAGGCTAGCATGAACCTACAAGGTTGTTTTGATGCTACGGACTGGTCTGTGTTTCAGTCAGAGGACGTCAATGAATTCTGTGACGCTGTGTCTGGATACATACGCTTCTGTATTGACTGCTGTGTCCCACAGAAGGTCATTAAAGAACATTTTAGTCAAAACCCTTGGATGAACGCGGAAGTGAAACTGAAACTTCATGAGCGTGCGTTGGCGTTTCAATCAAATGATACAGTTGCTTATAAGCGTTCCTGTTACTCATTGAAACGTTCTATTAAATCTGCAAAGCGCAGTTACGGGGACAGGTTAAAGAGTTATTTTGAGGAAGATGTGGAACGGTATTAAAGCCATCACATCGTGGAAACCTAGCGCTGGGGAAATTGCATCTGTCGGCCAAGCGAGCTGAACACGTTCTACTGTCGTTTTGAATCCGCTGATGCCTGTCCTACTGTATTCCCTGAGTGTTTCAATCAAGTTGCCTTCACCATGACTCAGGAGGAAGTCAGGCGTGTCTTGTCCAGGACCACAGTCCGGAAAGCCCCAGGCCCGGACGGCATCCCTCCTCATGTCCTGAAACTGTGCTCTGAGCAACTTGCCCCTGTGCTAACAGACATTTTCAACCTGTCGCTAAGGAACTGTACTGTGCCGAACTGCTTTAAAGAGTCGACCATCATTCCAGTTCCTAAGAAAACTCCTGTGACATGCCTGAATGACTATCGTCCTGTGGCCCTCACGTCTGTTCTTATGAAAACTTTTGAGCGGCTTGTGCTGGACTTCATTAAGAGCCAGATCCCTGTGAGTGTTGACCCGCTCCAGTTTGCTTACAGACAGAACAGGAGTGTGGAGGATGCCATCTCCTTTGCTCTGAACTCTGTCTACAGTCACTTGGACACTAGTAAATCTTTCGCGAGAATGCTTTTAATCGATTATAGCTCTGCTTTTAACTGCCTTGTCCCAGGTAAACTGATTGAAAAGCTCATGTCTCTCGGTTTAAGTGTTGCCATGTGTAAATGGATTTTTAGCTTTTTAACTGACAGATCTCAGAGAGTGAAAATCAATGACTGTTTTTCTGATGTTGCTTCTGTGAGCACTGGTTCTCCTCAGGGATGTATTTTGAGTTCTTTGCTTTTTACTTTGTACACTCACGATTGTGTGTTCTCCTCTGACTCAAACTTGATCATCAAATATGCTGATGACACCACCATCATCGGTCTCATCAGTAACAATGATGAATCCTCTTATAGAGCAGAGATACAAAATGTGGTTCAGTGGAGTATAACTAACAACCTCCAGTTGAACGCATCGAAAACATGTGAACTGGTCTACGACTTCAGTCGCAATAGTTCTCATTTGCCTGTCGTAATCGACAACTCCCAGGTGCAGATCGTAGAGGAGTGAGAGTTTCTGGGTTTAACTCTGTCTAACGACCTGAAATGGGTTAAAAACACTGACCGAGTCGTTAAGAAAGCTCGTCAGCGTCTCTACTTTCTGCGTAAACTTAGAGAATTTACCACTAACTCTAAGATTCTGCTTAACTTTTATCGCTGCACCATTGAGAGTTTACTTGTTGGTTCTGTGTCTGTGTGGTTTGGAAACATCACAGATAAAGAAAAGAGAGCTTTAAACAAGGTGCTCCGCTCTGCAAAGAGGACCGTGGGCTGTGAGCTTCCTGTTCTGGAGGTTCTTTATAAATCCAGACTTTTAAACAAAGCTCTTAGGATTGTCAATGACCCTTCTGGCCACCCTGGGAAAGCCATGTTCCAGCTTCTTCCCTCTGGCAGAAGATATCGCTCTCTGAGATGCAGGACATCTCGTTACGCTAACAGTTTTTATCCACAAGCTGTTATCAGTGTGAACAGAGCACTTTAATGATTTGCACTTGTTTTGAAACTGTTTTAGTCGATCGATTTCACAGTGACATTTGTTTACTGTTTTATTTGTTTTATTTTTGTCTTTTAGTGTTGTTGTATGTCTGTATTTGTCTGTGCACACTGGTGACTTTTGCTAATGTATTCCTATGTGGTGTTTTTACTGCAAATGGCAAATAAACTGAATCTGAATCTTAAAAGCACAGGTCACTAAAATTAGTTTGGATGCGAGTTTTGATACATTGAAAAATATTTCTAAACGTAAGTTAATTAAGCCCTTTCCAGTGACATCCCTGCCCCTTCAGCGTAACCCATGGACTTTGCTGCGTACTATATAGCTCCAATCCAAGTCCGAAAATAGTGCCATGTTGGTCCATTCCCCTGGATCAGCAGCAGCACCATGAGCACACAGCGTGGGTTGCCTGGAGCTGAGAGTCAACACGCCCGATCCTCTCCATGTGTTCGGCAGCGCCCAGGTTCGGACCCTCCTTTGGATGAGCCTGATGGTTCCATCCACCACGATCACTCTTTACTCAACGACTTTGATCCTTGGCGATCATGAGATAACTTTGGCCTATTCTGGAAACACCAAGAAGCTCATTGTCCAGATTGGTTTACACCAAAAAAGATACGGCAGCAGCCTGATGATGGACTATTTACTGTTGTACAGATTTCCACGAGGGGGGCGTGACTGTTTACATCTGAGCCCCTTCGGCCCCCTGGGTGACTACTATGGTGCGAACACTGAGTGAGTGAGTGAGTAATATTTTAGTAGAAGTTGGGGAACTGAATGGTGGAAATTAGCATCTTTGCTATAACCCGGTACAATGCATCTTTCCCTTGTGTTAATGCTTAATTGTACACTGTCCCTATTCAAATAAAGTACATACCATACCATACCATGCCACTGACCCCTGAATGTCAAGCAGTGCAATACCAGTCCTGCCTCTAGCTCTGAAAAACAGAGCAATTCCTTTCTGAATCTGGGACTTAAACAACCATAAAAGTGTTCTCAATAAAAGGATTGATTGATTTATCTATTCTAGACCAATAGAGAGTGTGTGTGTCTCGCACCAGCACAACATTTTTATTTTATTTAAAAAAACAATACATTCATAACAGAAGGACAGCGGTTAGACAGTCCAACCTGGCAAATCAATTTCCTGTTTAGTATTGAAATCAATAAACGACACTCACTGACATAAAATTTAAACTTGCTATGCTTAATGTCAGATCATTAAGCAACAAAATACATTTTTTCAATGAATAATTGTATCTGCTCTTATGATCTTGATTTTATGTTTATGACTGAAACATGGCTTGACCAAAATACAGGAAATGCAGCAACACCACAAAATTTCAAATTTTAGTCTGAATTACGAGAGAACAAAACGGGAGTTTTTAGAGATCACATTGTCTCCCATGGAGGGTCCCTTGGAAATTGTTCATAATTTGAAAATGTTTCTTTTAAAATAGAACAAAATCAATCTTCTATATTAATAATTGTCCTGTACGGGGGGTTTATTTTTCAAAATGTAAATGTGGTCAACGTTACTCTGTCGGATCATTTTGGTGTATTTTTTGATTTGTATTTTGCTACCAAACCGCCAGCTGAATCTGTAATTGTTAAAAAAAGACACATAAATGAAAACACAGGTGATCTGTTCATGGAAATGGTAAACTTCCAGAACGCATTGTGTTCTGATGAACTGTTTAACTTTGACAAATAGGCAAAAGGCCCCGTGGACAAAAGCTGACTCGGTCACGGCACACGAGTGCAAAGTGGCAAAAGTCCAACCTCCAGGTTGATTTTGAAATCTTCAAAGATAAGTTGTGTGAGTTTAACCGGGTGCTACGTAGAACAGGAGAAATTTGATTTTCTGTCTCTCCAGGGCCAAAGAAAAGCATTTCCTACGGGAATAACTCCCTGTGTTCTGACCTTCGCTCTCAGTGTGGCGCTATTACAATACTTCAGACATTCAAGAATCAGTCTTTACTTAATCCCCAGAACACACCAACACACACTTATATCCTGCCTGTCTCTGGTCGCTCTGCTCGTACGCTACACACACACTAACGCGATCCGTACTCGAGCTGTTAGCTACAGTAGCAGAGCGTAAACAGGAAGAGAAACGGAAACTCAACCAGGACAACGAGGTAGTCGCTGGAGTTAGTATTAGCGCCACCAGCTGGACCAAGTGCTGTAATACAGCACAGTTGCTCTGGCACGTTTGCAAATACACGTTCATGTGACCGCGGGCCGTTTTCACACCCCTGTGGCGACGATCCGGGCCACTTGGCCTAGTCCGTTTGTAAAAACCTATGTGACCGTGCCTTAAGGCTACAGTAACAATCTGCGTGTTCTGTTTTAATAGAATATGTAGATAATGAAACTGTCCAAATGTCTCAATGATTCCAATTACCTTTGTGATTTTAATTGGGTTTTAAATTATGATTTTGGAGTTTTATGTTATGATTTGTGCCTTGTGTGATGTGGACTGTGAATCACTTTGTGTTACCCTGTGTAGGAAAAGGCCCTCTACAAATAAAGATTGATTGATAATATAGTTCCCGCCTACTGGCAAAACCACCACCCTTAAGAGTTGAAAAGAAAAATTGTCAAACCGCTTGTCTGTCAATCAATTTTAATTTATGTTTTATATTCGTTTTGCCCTCCTTCCTGAAGTTTGTTGGCTCAATCCTTCAAGAGCACCTAAGTTACTGATATTCTTTTTTTTCAGTTCCACACCCTGGCAGCACCCACATTCATGGAATATCTACAATTAAAAATGGTAAAATATGGTCTCCCATGACACGCCTAGAGGAGTAGACGTGTTTGTTCGAGCTCCCGAACCTTTAACTTATTCATGGCCATTTGCCTACTATAACCCCTCTTTTGTTTTGAGCTGCTCGCCCTTAACTACTTTTTTTTCATTTTTTACGCTCGGCATTATGTCAAGAAAGTCAAGAAAGGAGGAATCGGACCAACCAGACGTGGCTAGTTTCACTAGCACCATGACGGAGCTGCTAACCACGAAGCTAGCTGAACATAAGGCAGATCTTTTGGCGGAGATAAAGGAAACCCACACAAGATACGAGGCAAAGCTGGACAGTGTTCTGACAATTGTTGATGACCACAAACGGCGGATTTCCAGCTTAGAACTGTCTGCAAATGCCACCAGCGCTGACCTAATGGGGATCCAGGCCACGCTGGGCGCTTTATCTGCGGAGAATGCTAAGCTAAAGGCTAAGGTGGTGGATTTAGAAGGCAGAAGCCGGAGGAGTAACATTCGCATAATCGGTCTGCCTGAAGACATTGAGAGGGCTACTAGACCAACGGAATTCTTTTCACAGTTGCTTTTTGACGCTCTAGGCACTGACGTTTTGCCGTCACCACCGGAGCTGGATAGGGCTCATCGAACGCTGGCCGCTAAGCCAGGCCCCACTGGAAGAGCGCGACCCGTGTTGGTTTGTTTCCACAATTTCCAACTTGAGAACGGGTGGTTCGTGCGGCTCGCAGGCTGAGGGGAAAGTTGAAGTACAAGGACGTTCCTTTTCATATTGTGGAGGATTACCCCCCCGAGGTGATGGAGCAGCGCACCCCATACCGAGTTGTCATGAAGCGGCTCTACGACATGGGCCTCAGACCAGCGCTGTGGTTTCCAGCTAAACTGTCCGTTGTGCTCGAAGATGGCACGAGGAAATTTCTTTCATCAGTAAAGGAAGCCATGGACTTTGCGGACTCTCGAGGTCGTCGTGAGTTGATGGATGACTGACTTAAATTGTGTTCCACTGGTTACCGTAAGCATTTGGCACTTTGTTAGCATAGGTATGTTAGCTATATTGCTACTTAGTTGCCATGCATTACCGCTGCTGTATATGGTTGAGCTACACCAGTGATTTTTAGCTATCCGTAGCTACTTCTATTCTTTTTGGGACAAACTATCTTCTTTTTTTTTTTTTTTTTTTTTTTTTTCTCTTTTTCTTCTTCCTTTTCTTTTTTCAAATGTCTTCGTATTTTCTTTTGGTTCGTAGCCTGACTTTTTCACATTTTATTATTTATGTATCTAAGTTTTTATTAATTATTTTTCATACTTTTTTCCGTTTTGTTCTAAGTAATGATCACGAGCAGCTATAACACATTTATATATTATGTTTGTTCATGTATTTAGTTAAACTAAATAATGGTATTATAACTATTAGCTAGGGGTTTTAAGTTTCATATTCATTCATTCAGAGACAAAGTAACATTCTGATTTATTTTTATTTATTTATTATTTGTTTTTTGGTGTGTGTTTTTTTTACCGGTTTGTGTGTGTTGATAACTCAACATTTCCGCTTAGATTTGTTATTTTGTTTCATTTTTATTTATTTCTTTGAGGTAAATTGACCTTGATTACAATGCCTTTGTAATGTGGGAGATGGGAATTGCTATGTTGGGAGTCTATTGGTTGGTGTCGCGGACACCGCCTTTGTGCAATGGACACAATATTTTCTTCTCTTTTTGGGGTGTTCTAGGCCAAGGGGTTTCATTTGCTGTGTTGTGTGTGTGTGTGTATGTGAGTATGAGTGCTTTTTATTTGTCTTGTTTTCTTTTTCTGCGCAGGTCCCTACTCTGTTCAGCTCATTTGTTCAGGACCCCAGTGGTGTCCGTCTATATGAATAAATCCTCACTGCAAGTATGACCTCTACTCATAATGTGCTACGGTTTGTCTCGTGGAATGTGAGAGGCACTGGGAATGCTACGAAATTGGGGCGAGTAATGGCTCACTTGAATCAGCTTAAAGGAGATATTTATTTTATTCAAGAGACCCATATGCTGAACAAGGATGTTATAAAGCTCAAAAGAAGTTGGGTCGGGGAAGTGTACCATTCCGCTTTTAACAGCAAAGCACGGGGGGCCGCCATAATTATTCGGAGAGGCACTCCATTTGTGATTGATAGGACTGTTCTGGACTCCAATGGCAGATTCGTAATGGTCTCTGGAACAATTCAGGGCACTCCTCTCTTATTAGTCTGCATTTATGGTCCGAATTGGGATAATAGCTCTTTTATAACAAAAATCTTTGATTCCTTTCCAGATATCCAAAATCATCGCATAATTATGGGGGGTGATTTTAATTTGGTCCAGGACCCGTTGTTGGATCGCTCATCTAATAGAAATGTATTGCAATCTCGATCAGCCAGCACCCTGCTTACTCTTGCCCAGCAGTATGGTCTTGCTGACCCTTGGAGACAGAAGTTTCCGGATGCAAGGGCCTACTCCTTTTTCTCTCAGGTTCATCACACTTACTCTCGAATAGATTTTTTTCTTGTGGACGTTCGACTACTTTCAGTGGTTGTTTCTGTGGATTACAATAGCATAGCGGTATCTGATCATGCTCCAACCTCTCTCGATTTGGCTTTGCTTACTCAGCCTGGTTCACCAAGAACATGGAGATTTAATTCTGTTCTATTAGCAGAAGATTGCTATAAACAATTCATACAGTCTCAGATTAGTTTATATTTTGAACTTAATGACTCTTCAGGTGTTAGTAGGAGTACTCTTTGGGAGGCCTCCAAAGCTTATATTAGGGGCCAGCTCATTTCTTTTATTTCCAATAGGAAGAAGAATGAAATGTCCCAAATTGCTGGCCTACTTAGAGATATTGGAGACGTTGATCAACAGTATGCTACTAGTCCTAACCCCACTCTTTACAAACGTCGTGTTATGTTGCAGATGGAGTTTGATTTGGCTTCCACAACACAGGTCCAAACTTTGCTTCTGAAATCTAGACAGCGTTTTTATGAGTCGGGCGATAAAGCTGGGAAGCTTCTGTCACATCAAGCCAGAGCAGAGGCATCTTCTAGGCTTATCCCAGCAATAAAATCATTTTCAGGGGAAATTATTACTGACCCGAAAGATATAAATTGTATATTTGCAGAGTTCTATGCTGCTCTTTATGCCTCTGACCATCCTCTTTCTCCTGATGTGGCACTTGACAATATTGATTTTCCTCAGATAGATGTTGATGCGGCGACAACTTTAGGTGCTCCCATCACTCTGTTAGAAGTACAGCAAGCTATCTGTGCACTTCAGAGTGGCAAGTCTCCAGGGCCTGATGGCTTTACAGTCGAATACTTCAAGGCTTTTTCCACTTTACTTTGTCCCTTTTTGAAAGACATGTACAATGAGTCTTTCGCCCTTGGCAGTCTTCCAAATACCCTGTCGGAGGCTACTATCTCACTAATTCTTAAAAAGGACAAGGACCCTTTACTCTGTAGCAGTTACAGGCCAATATCGCTCTTGAATGTTGACTTCAAGATATTGTCAAAAATTCTCGCTAGTAGATAGTATAGACGGCGGTAGAGAGCAAGTGGTGAAAAGGTGGTACTGCACCCTAAAATCCCCAGAAAAGAGACGGCGCTCTTGAGCAAGTGGTGAAAGGTGTTACTGCACTTTGTTTTTCAAAGAGTTAGCTTCTGTTGGCCTGTGTGTGTGTGATAATGCTTTCACAGTTGTCTAAAGTGTTTTATGATCACGGTGTATTCTAAAACAAGCAGTTAGGTCAATAAACTAATTTAATCTACAGGTCCTCCCTGTTAACGACACGTGTGTGTGTCTGATAGTGATGAGCGGTTGTGCTCATAATAATGTGCTGCAGTACGTGTGTCTATACTTAATGTCAATTGTAAACGGTTGGCCCTGTGTCGCTAACTTCCCCTTTGTTTTCATCACAACGGCACATGTGAGTCTAACAACCAATGAAAAGCTAGCACACAGTGCCGAACCGCAACACGCAGTCGGGGTGCCATCACAGACGGTGGAAACATGGGAATTTTTTGTTTTCGGCGGAAAATGTGTGGAAGATTCTCAAGATATGACCATTATCACCCCCGAGGGGGGGCACTGGGGGGTGGCAAGGGTACCGGCTCACTTCAGACCATGGAGCTGCTCATCCTCACCCATCTCCGGAGTAGAGGAAGCCGCGATCTACTTACTGCAGCAGACGCTCTCCCACCTGGAGTCCCCTGGGAGCGCTGTGAGGGTCATATTTTTTGACTTCTCCAGCTCTTTCAACACCATCAGACAGGCACTGCTGCGAGGGAAAATGGAGGACGCAGGAGTGGACAGTAACCTCACTGCATGGACCATCTCTGCATCTCATTCTCTCATCTCATCTCAATCTCTGCATTTCACCTCAGTGCATGGCTACTCCATCTCTTCTTTTGTGAGCCGTCCTGCTCCACCCAGAGGCTACTCCACCCAGAGGCTACTCCACCTCTGCTGCTATGACCTGAAGGGCTGTTGCTGATTATTACTATTTTTTACTTTTTAGAATGATCAATTTAATTTATCTTTGCTGCTACTGGACACCTACATTTATCCTAGGGGAATCAATAAAGCATATTTATCTATCTATATATCTATCGACTACGTCTCTGACCGACCACAGTACGTACGGCTGTGCAGTTGTGAGTCTGAGGTGGTAGTCTGCAGTACTGGGACCCCTCAGGGCACTGTCCTCTCACTGTTTCTTTTCACCATCTACACTTCAGACTTCACATACAAGACACACACAGCTGCCACCTGCAGAATTTCTCCAACAACTCCGCCATCATGGGCTGTGAGTCTGAGGGGAGCGAACTGGAATAAAGATCGGTTTTCAGGGACTTCGTCGACTGGTGTGAGCGCAACCATTTGTGCTTGAAAACCAGTAAGGTAAGGGGATGGTAATCCACTTCAGGAGAAAATCACTTTCCCACACGCTGCTGAACATCCAGGGGGAGGACATTGAGTTGGTGAACAAATTCAAGTACCTGAGTGCTCACATTAACCATAAACTGGACTGGTCCCATAACACCAACGCCCTATACAAGAAGGGCATCTTCCTTCTTAGGAGGCTGAGGTCCTTTGGAGTGAGCAGGCCTCTGCTCAGGACTTTTTATGACTCTGTGGTAGCCTCTGCCACTACGCTGCCGTGTGATTGGCCCCGGTCAGAAGGGCCAGCTTCACCCTCGACCCTGTGGAGGAGGTGGGGGACAGGAGGTTGCTAGTCAAAGCACAGGACTGTAGAGGGGCGGAGGTGCTCTCAGTGGAAGACTGAGGCACCCTCAGTGCAAGAAGGAGCGCTACCGCAGGGCCCTTATCCCCACCGCTATCAGTGACTAATCACTTGCATTAGGACTAAAAAACCTGCACTATTCATTGACACTATTTCTTGACTGCTACTTTTTAATTGCCACTTTTTGCACATTTCATTCCTTTGCACAATCTTGAGTGTTTCTATCCATGCCAGATGTGACATGTACATTTCTCCAGTGTGAGATTAATAAAGTCTATCCTCAGAATCAGAATCAGAATCATTTTTATTGCCACGTGAGTAACAAAGTTACCACTTGGAAATTGTTTTGGCAGAGAGCGTGCCACTTCGCCATTTGCGGCGCTGTGTGCAGCAAGAAACAGCAGAGAGCAATAACATACAGTTCACAGACAATTGGATAGACACATTGTGCTTTGTATAAACCACAGATTTTTTTCTCGGGATGAGCACCTCCGACTGCCGGCCCAATGTGGCTGTCAGGGTCAGGGAGGGGGTGAGTCGGAAACACAATCAGGAGTGGAGGGGAGGGAGGGAGTAAAATGGATAGGTAGAGGGAGGCGGGGGGAGCGGGATCCGTGCTGGAGACTGAAGAGTGTGAATTGTTGTAGATTGTGGGACCTCGTTTTATGGCCTTGGACGAGGAATGTGAGATAAGAGTGGAGAGAAGACACAGCAGGAGAAAAACACATCGC